TTTCCATAAATTAACAAGGTCTCCACTCCAGTATCAACCAAGGCTTTGGCTGTTTGTGAGGACCCTTTTTTCCAGAATATTTGTAGCTCCACGTGGGGTCTCTGGTCCTCCTGTGCCCACTGTACCAGAGCTTGGCCATCAACAGTTGGCCATCCAACATCCACAGTTCAGTTGGAGCTGTGATGTCACATTATTTCCTCGAGTTCTTTCCCAGGATACAGGTCAGAATAGAGCCACCCATCGTCCTTCTCCCCAGGAACAGCTGATCCATCCACAGGGAGCTTTCTGTGGGGAAATGTGGAGTCCTGCTGAGTTCCCAGAGGAGGTGCTGAGGGCTGAGCTGCTTCTGAGCTGCTCTCCTTGCACCTCTGTGCTTTTCTGTGGGGTTTATGTAACCCTCTCTGCTTGTATAACCTCCATAGTTCCTGGGTTTTGGTGCCATCAATCTGGCTGCAGGGTACTGCATCCTGTAATAGGGCTGCAAACATCTCCCCTTGGGAGATCCTACAACACCAGGTTTCTCAGTCTCCATTCCCCTGGGGGCCCCACTGATGTTGGGTATCTTGATTTTCCTTCTCCCAGGGGCTCCATTCTCCAAGGTCCCCCAGCTGCTGTATCGTATCAGTTACTCCTCTGACAGAGTTCCCTGAGTTGTTCAGTAAGGGTGTCACTGTTACACCTTCACAGGCTGGTGGAGCAGTTCTAAGAACAGCATTTCCCATGGAAGCAGATAATCCAAGCTGGATGAAGACATCAGCTCAGCCAGCAGACAGCTGCCTTCATCCCTTCTTCTTTCACACGTTGAATTCCACCTCCCAGAGTGTACCCCAGCCAGTCAGACCCTGGCCAGGCATTCTCCATTGGGGATTTATTTCTACATCCCTCAGTGGCCAAGGCCAACAAATTATGTCACTCGATCACTGTTCTGAAATGCCTCTTGCACAAAGGAACCTGAAGTCAGCATTACAAATTTCCTGGAGTCACCCTCACCGAGCGTAACCCCTGAAGCTCCCTGATCACCCAGGTGCACCCTCCATGGGGGCAGGGGCTCTCCTGGCTGCTGTTTAAGCTGCTCAGTTGTCATTTACCTCCTGTTGAGTACAGTCTTCTAGTGAGTCTTGTCTCACCAGGTGCCTCTTCTTCTAGTGAGTCTTGTCTCACCAGGTGCCTCTTCTCATCCAGCTCTGCCCTTCTCCTGTACTTCCATCCAGAGGCTCACCTGAGCAGTCATCCTCACCAGAGCCTGCAGAGTTCCAGACATCCTCCTCCTCCTGTGCCACACCTGAGTGAACCTTTCTCTGAGTTACCTGCCCTCTCTTAAGGTTATGGTGGGCAAGTCTCACTCCAGCTTTCTCGGGTGTAGTCTGGGAAACACCCAACTTATCAGCTAGCAGCTTATTCTGCATTGCAGCATTATCATCTGGTTCTGAAGATCATTCAGCTGCTGCTCCACACAGGAGTGCTGTGGGAACAATTGTTCTTTCAATTGATGCTGCTTCTTATAAGCAGTCAGCAGGACCCAGCCCTGTCTGACAGCAGTCTCCCCTCTTCATAACATGATTTCTGAAGAGTATTTAATACAAACCAAGGTTCAGTGTCTGCTAATTCCCCCTCCCACTGTTCTCATGGTCCAGAAATCTTGGCCCATTCAAGAGCCAGGGAGCTGCATGGAGACTCTCTCCAATCTGCAATTTCAGATGGGGCTGTCTGTGATGCCAGTTTTCTTCTGCTGACTGCTTGTCCCAGGAGGAAGGAATTGTCATCAACGGGCAACACAGGGACCAGATCCCTCCCTCTGGTCTCAAACCATATGCAAGGGCCCCGAGGTGGCCACTGGAGGAATGAGAAGGTCTCTGAGCCAACTGACAGTGCTGGATGCAGTGGAGGCAGCAGTGACCTGACCGAGGTGACCAGTCCCAGGGATGATGCCATTGTCCCCTCCTCTGCTCCTGGCTGTGCTGGAGTTACTGCTGGAGATCTCCTCATCAGTTCCCACCCAAGGCTGGCCAGGCCCTGGGTGAAAACCAGTCAGGAGGGTCTTCCCTGCCTGGCTGTGGACACCATCTGTATGTTAACCCTGACTGAGGGCTGGGGGTTTAACCCCAGCACTATCAGGTGGTCACAGGGACATATCCTCCCCGAGTGCTGCCAGGCTGCTGTGGAGGAGCTGGGGATGCACAGGATAAGAGGAGCTGGGGATGCACAGGATAAGTGCTGCCACGTTCCACCTCACTCTGTGAGCCCAGCAGAGGCCACCTCCAACCCCAGGGACAGGCTGACATAGAGCAGAGAGGATCCCCCACCCGGGGCCACGCTTCCCCTGCTGCACTTGTTTATCTGAACCCCCCAGCTCCAAGCTGTGCTGCCTCCAGGAGACACCCAGGACCCTGCAGCCATCTGGCCACCAGCCATGGTGGAGCTGTCCCATCTGGGAGTCCCACCCGACCAGCCTGGGGGGCAGAGAGCTGCTCTCCTCACTGCCTGACCTCTCTTTGCTCCCTCTGCACACGTGTGCCCCCCTGGAAGCTCCCCTCAGCAAGGCTGCCTGGGCCCCAGCCCCACCAGCCCCCTGCCCAGCTGCCCCAGCAAAGCAAACACTGGTGGGAGTGGGAGGCCCCACAGTCAGAGAGGGGAAGTGTCTGGGAGAAGCCCCACACTCCCCCACCTCTGCTGGCAGCCAGCAGAAGGGACAGATTAGAGCTGAATTAAGTTATCAGCATTAAATAAACATGCCTGGCCTCTTTGAAGTTCTGCTTCCCTCCAACATGAGCTCATTTCAGAGGCCTCTTTTCAGTCAGCCCCAGGAAGCCATCAGTCTCCACGGAGTTAACTCTTCACAGGACTTCTCAGCTCCCCCAGGCACCTCTCCCTGCAGTGCCCATGGATTCAGGGCACCTCAGTCCAGCACTGGAGCAGAGCCCAGTGCAGGCAGAGCCAGCACTCCTGCCTGTCTCCCTGGGCCTCCCTGATGTAAGGGGCATTCCCACCAGGAAAGGAAACCTGCCCGACTCCACCGTGTGGTCCTGCAGGCTCCAGGCTGGCACACGGGGAAGCTCCAGTGGAGCTGGAGGGGGATCCCTGGGTGCTGAAGCATCCTGCAAGCCTGCCAAGAGCAGCACTGGCAGGTCCTGGGAGGACTGAGCTCAACCCTCCTCCAAAGTGAGGAGCAAAGAAACAAGGGAGGAATTCAGTTACAGCCAAGGGAAGTGCCCAGCACTCCCTTCTTCAGGTTTAATCCCACAAAGTGGAAACCTGAAAGTCTGGGGCAGGAAAGGGAGGGGGCAGCCACAGAGAGGAAAGGACAAAGTCACAAAGACAAGGCTGACCCTGACTCTGCAGCACTTCTGCGTGGCTCATGTAACCTCTGCCACCCCCTGCTCCTGCCCCAGCACCCAAAAAACATGGCAAAGGGAGCAGAAATGTGCCCGAGAGCAGGAGCTGCCTCTGCCTGGAGTGGGGAGAGGTGACTTCTGGGCCTCACTGTTTTTGCACCTGAGCAGGAACTGCAGTTGCTGCTGCTGGAGCTGATGGGAGAGGCAGAGCCTGTCACTGCTGCCTGCCACGGGGAGAAGTGAATGCTTCTCCAGATGGCTCCAGGGTACTACAGTGAGACCCCCAGGATGGGGCATTACTTCTGGATGCTCTGCTTGCTCCCAGCTGCAGGGAGGCTGGAGAGGAGTGGAGCTGCCTGCATCAGATGCTGTGGGTCAGATGGAGGCTCCCCCCTCTCCTGGGAAGGCAGCTTCCACCCTGCCCCTGAAACCTTCTACCCCCAGTTTACTGCCAGGAAAGCTCCCACTCAACATGCCTTTAGCCACACATGCAGAACCTGAGAAGAGCTTTGGAGATGAAAAAAAAAAGAGCTCCAGACTCCAGGGCCCCACTGGAGGGGCTGGCCACTGGCCAGGAGGTCCCAGCAGCTCTGCAGAGCCTGCTGATGGCAGCAGGCAGGACACAAACAGCTGGAAGTCAGGGAGCAGCTGGGAACAACAAGGCCAAATGCAGACACTCAAGATAAACAGTGAGAGCACCTTTCAGTTCCCAGCTGCAACAGAAATTATCTCCACCCAGGGGGAGACCACAGCTTGGCCTGGACCAGGAGATGACCCAAGGCAACCCCCCACACCAGCCCTGCAGCACAGAGGGTGGAATGGGCTCTCATCAGAGGACAGCAGGGAACCTGATGGGTTGGCACAGCCTGACCCAGCATTCTCAAGAGGAACAGTCTCATCAGAGGAACACCTTTCCTGAAGAAGCCTCCAGCTCCAGCAGAGAAGTTGCTCTCCTGCTTCTCATTTCACAGGCATGCTCCATTCTCCACACAGCAAATGCCAGAGGGATGTGCATGGGGATAGTGAGAGCCCCCAGGTCCTAAACACAACTGCAATGCTAGCAAGATGGAGACACATCTGAAATCCCAACAGCCCACGCTGGAGCTGTGCAAGGCAGGCAGTTCCAGTGCTGTGCCTAACCACAGCCAGGCTTCCAGGAGCAAGGCCAGGTACCCCCTGACTCAGACCTGTTCCTCCTGCTCCCGGCAGAGATCACAGGGCAAGGCAGAGCGAGGTAACTGTCAGAAGTACAAAGGGGTGTGATCCTGCAGCTTCACAGCTCCTTATTATATCCACAAATTCCCTTATTATATCCACAAACAGCCCAGTGCCCCTGTGAAAACTTCTCCAGGAAAGCGCATTCCACAGACACAGGAAAGACTGCAGGGAAGCTCCTGAAGGGGAGCAGACCTCAGCAATGCTGCACAGCACCACCGTCCCTCCAGAGCCATCACCTGCCCATCCTTCTGGACAGCTGCTCCTGAGCACCCTGGTGCCAGGCTCCCACTGCTCCCAGGCACCATCCTCTGAACCTTCACCGCGTGTGAAGCGGCACAAGAAAGCCAGACAGGGCACCCAGGCGTCCCTGCTGTGAGCCTCTGCCTGTTCTGCTGCTCCTTGAGAGCTGAGTGGAGGAGGAAGACAGCTAAGCAACAACGTGGGCCTTACCTTTTGTTCCAGGGGGCTGCAGATTATCTCCAGTCAGCGAGCACCAGCCTACGGGAAAGATGTCCCGGGAATCATATCGGCACCAGTAATCGAAGGCACCTCTCCAGCCATCAAATGTTATGAGGACCTCAGAGCCTCTCACCTCCCCAATGGTGGCCGGGCAGATGAAGTGAGGGTTCTTCCTGTCCACTGCCTCCAGCTTCATACCTGTCTTGAAGAAGTTTTGGGATGGAGATGGTGGTTCCTACAAGGAGAAGTTGGAAATGGGCTCACAGAGGCTATGCCAGTGCCCCCCCGCCCAGGGCTGCCCCTCCACCACCCAACTCACCTGCAGCAGCAGATGCAGAAGGGAGCTATGGGGCTGGGGCTGGACCCCCAGGGGGTGTGCACACGCTGGCCTAGCTACACAGCCACGTGCCCTGAGAGTCAAGGGGCAGTGAAGTGCAGTGCTGACTGCTCAGCCATCACCTGCCTGCTGGACCAAACCCAGCCAGTGCTACAGCAGCACTGCACCCTGGGACAACTCTGTCAGGCCATGCTGGCAGAAAGGAAAGCTCCAAAGAAAAGAGCCTCTGTAGAGTACTCTCATCTTGTTGCCCCAGAGCAGCAAAGCCTGAGATGTGACAGTCTCTGTCCATCACTCCTCCCTCAACTTCAGCTTTGCTGGACACATGAGAGATCTGCCAGCCCCCTCACTGGGGCTTCTCCTCCCAGCCTGTTATACCTGAGACACACTAAAGCCACAGCAACCATCCTGCCCCACAGCACACGCCTCTGCACTGGCTCCAGGCTCTGTCTGACTTCACAGAGGGTGTGACAACACAAAGAACAAATTCACACAGCACTAAGTGCATTCCTCACAAGCCCTGGGACAAGATGAAGTTCCAGAGAGGAGCTGACTTTCACATACTGCATTCCTGACTTTGGGTAGCACCTGCAGCCCAAGTGAAAACAGGCACATCTCTCAAACCCAGCTGTTGAAGCCCAAGACACTTCCTCAGCAGATCTGTCTGCACCCTGACCCTGCTGTGACACAGGCATGGAGGGGACAGGTCTGTCCTCAGAGGTGGCACTGTGGCAAAGCTGGGCACTGCTCATCTCCTCCAGGGTCAGCAGACCTCACAGGAGATGCCAGCTGTGATTTTGGTGCTCTGCAGTAAAGGGGACATGGCAGAAGGATGTCTTCACAAAGAGTCCAGTGAAATACCTTGTGAAAAATCCGGACAGGAGCCATCTCTGCTCCATTCAGAGTCTTCAGAAGGAACATGGGCCAAGAGGAGGCGTTCAGCCGAAAGCCTGCAGAGAAGGAAGCAGAGATGGAGACTTTAAGGCTGTGGGGGCCACTGGACCTGGCAGCACATCCCTGCTCTGCTGGGAACCTCACAGGGGGCACACGTCAGGGTCCCAGACCACCCTCCCCTCACACTGGAGAGCCAGGTGTGACCTTTTCCAGACACTGTGAACACAGAACACAGTGTTGTTGAAAAGAAACATCTGGAATCAGATGTTGGACTGCAACATTCACTCATCACAACAGAAGTCTGTACGTTGCCCATGCAGGCAGAGCACTCTGTGCAGTGCTGTGCTGGCAGCTTCCCTGATACCACTGCAGGGGACATGAATCAGCAACTGCACACTCGACTCATGCAACTTCTTCCTCAAGAGGGATTCCTGGCTACTGGGTGTTCTCCTCCACCTTATAGAGCAAGCTGCAGCAAGCTAACGTGAAGAAATAAAGAGGCTGTGACCTGGCTGGGAAAGAGATTTAACCATCACAGGAAAGGATGGCAGGTTTTGGCTCGACACCTTCTGTGAAAAGAAGCAGAGAAATAAGAGGAAGGGGCTTAAGGAAAGAAAAAAAGTGAATTCCCAGGCCCTGAGTCTGTGGTACAGAGTACAAGTGCCCAAAAAAGTCTCCAGATATCACAAACCACCATCTTTGCTAAATGTGCATCTTCCTGGAGAGGCAATTTCTGCCGCTCAGCTGAACACACCTCACACCTTCTGCATTGATGGCATCTGAAGGTCACCCTAGGACTGATCCTAAACACATCCCAGGATGTTGAACATGGCCAGAGCACGACCAGCTCAGTACAGGCTGCCCTGCAGCCCTGTGCTCTGTCAGAGCAGCCTGGAAACCAAACAAGCCAGCCACAAACCTCCAGGGTTGGGAGGGCCTGGCTCCCAGCAGGGCACAGCCAACCTGCTGTGGGAGTCAGCTGTGTAAGGAGGGGGAGCAGCAGCACCCCAAAAATACCCCGAGGAACACAGGAAAGCCTCACTGGGCTTTCAGGGCCCTTGCACACTGCAGGCAGAAAGGATCACTGCAAAACCCTGTTACCTGCTGTTACACTGGCTGCAAGAGAACTGCTCCTGGCTGGCCCAGGGTGCTGCAGGAGGTACAGACTGGAGCTGGGCACATGGACCTCCAGAGCATGACCTCCCCCTGGCACAGTCAGAGATGAGTTCTGCTCTGCAGCTCTATTACACCTATTGCCATCTGCTGGCAAAACCCAGACAAGGCCCAGGAGGAGCCTGGCATCAGCTAGGACAGGTCCCCAGGCCTCCTGGGCAGGCTGCTCCAGAGCTCCAAGCTGCACCCTGGGAGGAGATGTCTGCAAACAGGCAGCAGGACCCATGAAGGTAACAGCAAACCCAGCAGCTTCAAGGTGAACAGCTGCTGCAGGTTCTGTCTGTAGCAGTTATGAGGGGAAAGGGGATGATGAGATTTGCAGAGTTTGGTGTGGTGTGGTGTGCCAGAACAGGCACCTCCTGGGCTTTCTTCCTTCTTCAGAAAGGTCTGTCCCAAGTGCCCCGTTGCAGCTTGGACTGGACTTCCACCCAATGGTGCTCCAGGGAAAAACAGGAATAAATCTGTTCCTCACTCAAGGTATTCTACTGAAGGTTTCTTGCATCACTATAGATTGGCTCGATATTGTTTGGGGATGTGATGAGAGATTTATGAAGTTGCTTCAAAAATAATGGCCAGCAGAATGCAAAAGCAGGTTAATCTTGCTGCTTAATCAGGAAAGAACCAGAAAATGAGCTCATCATCTCCAGGTTATTTATAAAGCTGTAGCTAAGCAAAATTAAATAAACAAGCAGATGAAATACTGCAACTGACCCTCCATGGGAGACAAGACTTAAACCACTGGGAACCTTCTCAGCCACCACCCAGGAAAAGCCATTGGAGTTGCTCTGCCTTCAATGCTGCTGCCCACACCTGGGTCACCAGGACCTCGAGGTGCCCCTCAACTGCTTGTGCCACCTCTGGGAAACGAGTGGCTCTGGTATTCTTTCACACAAACACAGGGGAAAATGTGGTTTTCCTCTGAGGTACACAGGGAAAATTCCAGAAGGTGCAAGAGCGTGATCAGCATGGGCTGATCCTGAGCCCAGCTGCAAAGGGCATGAGCAGCTCACCTAGGTGCAAAGAGCTCTTTCATCTACACTCCAAAGCACCTTCCTGTCCACGCTGTGATCTCCACGTGGAAACACAGGCCTGGGGTGGGGTACAGCTGTGCAACAGCCCAAGCCAGCAGGGCTGGGCACACACACAGCAGCAGGCAGGGGCTGTCCGGGGCTCTCCATCCCCAGCGCAGAAACCTACAGCCCGAGGGGTTCTCCCCCCAGATAACACAGGCATTTGCTGGCCAGCTGAACCTCAGCTCACCCAGGGGAGGCTGCAGCATCCCTCCATTCTTCTCACAGTTGCCTATGGGCTGGATCTCAGCCGAGTCCACCAGCCTCCAGAAGTCGTTCTTGTTGTCGCTGCCGTCGAGGCGCAGGCGCAGCCGAGCCCCCGTCAGCCCCACCACGCTGGCGATGCAGGTGGAGGTGGTGTTCCGGGGGTCCTGGGCCTCCAGCTTCATGCTGATCTTGAACTCGTTTGCAGGTGGAGTGTAGGACTGCAAAGAGAAGAAAAGGGCCCCGGTGAGAGACAGGGTTACACACACACACACCCCACCTCGGTCATAAAGATCAAGCTCTAAGAACTGGACCACAGAATCACTGAAAGCTTTGGGCTGGAAGGGATCCTTCAAGGTCATCTAGTCCAGCAGCCCTGCCCTGAGCAGGGACATCTGCAACTAGATCAGGTTGTGCAGAGCCCCATTCAAGCCTGAATCTACTGACACCTGAAGTGCTGGGGTCAAACCCCCAGCCCTGCATGAGGGTTGCCATATGGATGATGTCCACAAGCAGGCAGGCCAGACCCTCCTGATGGATTTTCACCCCGGGTCTGGCCAGCCCTGGGTGAGAATCAGTTAGGAGATCACCACCACATGCCCCCACCTTCCACATTAACTTGGAATTCTCTCTTTGTTCTCTTCCCAGGAGAGTCACCCAGCCAACCCAAGACCCACAGAGATACTCCTCTGTGCTGCCACCCCTCCATCTGGACCCAGGCTGCACCAGGCTGACTGTACCCCCTGTACTCTGTGCCCAAGGACCTGATGCCCAGGGTGCTGCTATTCCGTTCACAAGGACTGGGTGAATCCTGCAGAAAAGCTCCTTGCTGGGCAGGATCCACCAAAAGCTGTATCACTACTTAGAACATTTTCCCAAGGGCTGTGCTTGGCAGAGTGAAAACATTCCTGTGTTCCCCTCCATGCACTCCTGACAGGAAAATCTTCTGTGCTACTCCAACATTTGCAGCAACTACATGCATCTTTGCTTCAGCACATTTGGGTTTCTATGAAGTGCCCAATATCCCCAAGCATCTTCCTTGCCAAAAGAAGGCCCATCCCAGCCACAGAACTCCTGGGTCACCTACAGACCATCGCCCTTGAACTCTTGTTTTCACTTTCTTACCTGCTTGAAGCAATGGGCAGGAGCTGGGATGGCACATGTCTCCTTCAGGTATTTCTCCCAGGTGAAGTGACCTGAGAAAACAAAAGGACTCAAGTAAGAACTGATGAGCAAAAACCTCAGAAAAAGAGAGGGGTGGACTCCTGAAGCCAGCAGTTCTCCCCTTCCCACAGAGGAGGTGCTCACAGGCAACGTGTTTTCATCGAGATCCTCTGATGTCTGTGACCACAGAAGATTTACAGCAGCAGCTGACAGGCAGAACAAAGCACGGGGCTGCCTCCAGCACCCTACTGCCTCCAGCACTGCAGAGGAGGCTCTCCAGAAGTGAGGCTAACAGCCTACAACTCGATATAAAACACCCAGCACAGATGGGAATCCCTGGAGCCTTCCAGGCATCTGCTTCTTAAAATCCAATCGTTAAAGACGTTGCTCAGTCTGGGGACTAGGAGTCACTGCAGGCTCTAAGCAGCACACAGGGCCAGGAACCTGCAGGGTGCTGAGTTCCCTGGCCCAGCACACACAGAGAGCTCGGAGCAGGTACCAGCCAGCAGTTAGTGACACATCAGGTGCTTTGCTGAAGCAGACACAGAGCCCGTAGCTTGGGCAGGATGGAAGCAAGGATCCTCCAAACAGGGGTTTACTGAGTGCAGCAGCTCACACCCCACACCACAGCCTCTTCTTCCAGTTCTCCTGTTCCAGGGAAGCGTGTTCCACCCCTGCCTGCACCCTTCCCATGGACAGCAATAAAAAAAGCAATATGCCATCTAGGGAAACCTGTTATTAAATGAGGAATTAAAAGCTCCTGTGATGCGAGCAGATCACGACTTCTGCCATTCCCACTGAGCAGCTGGGAAGGATCCTTCCAGCATGACATTAGCTTGCATTCAGCTGAAGGGCTCCCAGGAGACAGCTTTCTTCCAGTCATTTCAAGAGCATCGGTGGCAGCACAATTAAAGAGTCAGCTACTGCTCCCCCCATTCAGGGCAAGTTTTTAATCAGCCTATTTTCAAAACAAAAGCTCCATTAAGAGCCATTTTAGCTCCTGCAGCACTCCCCACACCTCTAACAACCCAGGTGTTAAGGTTACACATGACTTCAGTTCTGCCTCACGTGCACAGAGAAGCCTTCAGGGCTTGATCATCTCCTAGCTCCACGCAAAGAGAAGTGCTGCTCCCCTGGCACCTCCCATGCCATGACTGGCACAGTGTTGAAGGAACACAAGGACACAGTTTCCTCGCCACACTGGCTGAAGGTGTTTCTGTTTCCAGCCCCTGACAGCAGCTCCCTGCTCCTCACAGGACACCTCCCCAGCCCTGGGCACGTGTTTTCTTTTCTGGTGAATGAAGAATTCAGTGATTTACTGCAAGGGTGCTCTCACAAAACCAAAATTCTTCTGCTTGAATTGAAGATAGGATTTTACACTCGGTTACGTCAATGAAACTCTTTGTGTGACTGATGGGTAATAAACACCCAGGCAGAGCAAACCCAGGCACTTCCAGCATGGAAACACCTTGGGCACCCCAGCCCTCAGCTCCAGTGGCCAGTCTGGGCTCACCTCAGAGCGAGGTGGCCCTTCAGAGGCCCCTGTCCATGGAGCACAGGGGATGCTGTGGTGGCAGCACCAGGACAAGCAGTGCAAGCCTCAGCCCTGAGCAAGCCTCCTGCAAAGGATCAGCTGTGCTTGAGGGGTGGCCCTTCAGAGGCCCATGGAGCACAGGGGATGCCGTGGTGGCAGCAAAAGGACAAGGAGTGCGAGCCTCAGCCCTGAGCAAGACTCCTGCAAAGGATCAGCTGTGCTTGACAACTTGATTTTAAAGATGAGCCCTGCCCTCCCCTCCCCTCAGCTGGTTTCAATCCCTCACTATTGAGAGGAGCCATGGTTTTAATCCTTCCACTTCTCACTCCCTCTGCGTGGAGCGGGGCCGCTCGGCTCCCCCTGCAGCTCTCGCTGTGGTCAGAGCCACGCTGCACCCTCCCAGCAGGAGCAGCAAATTCCTGAGGCAGCTGCAGGCCTCTAAAAATAGGGTTTGGACATGGAACTCGTTTGAGATTAATTTGGGAGCCTGTTGGGACCCCAGCACCGTACA